GTGGCATATGCGTCTTGCTCATCTCAGTGAATGTGGTATGGCTGAATTACATAAAAGAAATATGTTGCATTGTGTTAAAAGCTGTGGAAAGTTGAGTTAGAAAACCAAATAGGACTAAAAATCAAGTGTTTGCGGTCAGACAATGGTATGGAGTACACAGATTCACAGTTTCTAAACTTCTGTAAGGAGCATAGGACTAAGAGGCATTTTACAGTGCGCAAGACAACACAACAGAATGGTGCTGCGAAATGAATGAACAGGTCATTGAATGAAAGAGCTAGATATTTGCAATTGAATGCGGGGCTTCCCAAACACTTTTGGGCTGAGGCCGTTAACATGGCGTGTTATCTTATCAATATATCGCCAAGGGCATCATTGGTTGGGAAAATTATAGAAGAGGTATGGACTGCTAATGATGTTACTTTTGATCACTTACAGATTTTTGGTTGTCCTACTTATGTGCATATACCTATTGATGAGAGATACAAACTTGATGCAAAATCGAAGGAGTGCATTTTCCTGGGTTACAAGACAAGTGTCAAAGGATTCAAGTTCTGGGATCCAGTTGCGAAGCAAATTGTGATCAGTAGAGATTTTGTTTTTTATGAACAACCCATATTGCAGCAGAAGAAATACACGACAGTGGTGGATTTCGAGCAGTTTCCAGTTGAGAAAATAGAAAATTCTAAACCGATTTCTAGTGGTTTCGCTACGGTTGATTTGCAAGATTATAGTCTCGCCAGAGATAGGGTGAGACAAACGAATATAAAGCCTCCGAACAGATTGGGTTTTGAATACTTGGTCTCTTTTTCACTTGCTGTTAGCAGTGATGATCTGGTTACTTTTCATGATGATGTTACTAGTCACAAAAACGACAAGTGGATGGCTGTCATGGTTGGGGAGATAGAGTCTTTGAATCACAATCGCACATGGGAGTTAGTTCGCCTTCCTGAGGGTAAGAAGCATATTGGTTGCAAATGGGTGTATAAGAATAAACCAACGGTAACAAAAAAAAGAGAGGAGAAGTTCAAGGTTCTTTTGGTAAAAAAAGGCTTTTTACAACATAAAGGAGTTGATTATGATGAATATTTTCTCATGTAGTCAGGCACACTTCAATCCGAGATGTACTTGCATTGGTGGCTAGTTGGGATTTTCATTTAGAGCAGATGGATGTGAAAACTTCTTTTTTGCATGGTGATTTAGCGGAGCATGTCTACATGCAACAACCTGAAGGTTTCACTCAACCTGGAAACGAGCATTTAGTTTGCAGATTGAAGAAATCATTGTATGGGTTGAAACAGTCTTCGAGACAATGATACAAACGGTTTGAATCCTATATGATCAAGATTGGCTGCAAGTGATGTGAGTATGATTGTTGTGTCTATGTTAAGAGCCTTGATGATGGTTCTTTTATTTTTCTGTTATTGTATGTTGATGATATGTTAATTGCTGCGAAGAACATGGATGATGTTATCGGTTTGAAAACTTTATTGAGTTAAGAATTTGATATGAAAGATTTAGGTACTGCAAAGAAAATTCTTGGAATGAAAATTTGTAGGGCCAGAGACTCAAGGAAACTGTGGTTATCTCAACAGGGTTATGTTGAGAAAATGCTAGAAAGGTTTGCAATGAGCAACGCAAAACCAATGAGCACTCCATTGGCGAATCACTTTAAGCTCTCATTAGAACAGTGCCCTAAGACAGATAAGGAAGCTGAAGATATGGCAAAGGTTCCGTATTCTAATGCTGTTGGCTGCTTGATGTATGCAATGGTATGTACTCGTTCTGAATTAGCTCATGTTGTTAGTCAAGTGTGTAAGTACATGTCTAAACCTGGTAAGCAACATTTAGAAGCAATCAAGTGGATCTTTAGGTACTTAAAGGGTACTGTGGGACATGGAATTGTTTTTGGTAGTCAGCAGGATAATCCTTTGGTTGTAAGATATGTGGATTCAGACTATGCGGGTGACTTGGATAATAGAAGATCTACGACATGGTATGTCTTTACTCTTGGTGGAGGGCCTATTTGTTGGAAGTATACTGTTCAATCTGTTGTGGTATTATCTACAACTGAAGTTGAATACATGGCAGCGGCTGAAGCTGTGAAAGAAGCTTTATAGCTTATTGGTTTAGTGAAGGAGTTGGGTGTTCAACAAGGTTGAGTTCAGTTGCTTTGTGACAATCAAAGTACTATTCACTTGGCTAAGAATCAAGTATATCGTGCTAGAACTAAGCATATTGATGTAAGGTTTCACAAGATCAGAGAGTTGGTTGCATCTGGAGAGATTTTGTTTCAGAAGGTACAAACTGATGAGAATGTCGCTAATATGTTCACCAAGCCAGTTACGACAGACAAGTTCATGCATTACTTGTACTTGTTGAATGTTTTCAAGTTGTAATAGAAGTAAGGTAACCCAACCCACATTGAATGTTTCCTAAGGGGTAGGATATTCGCCAAGGTGAAGATTTGTTAGGTATAACTCATAAATATACATGTAAAAAGGAAAAAGGATGGAGCGGAGTGAGCGAAGCGAACATCATCTGTCCTTACAAAGAAAGTCTTGTAGTGGGGGTTACGATTATGTGGGTTGATGGTGCAGGGGCTTAGCCCCCGCGGTACGGTACATGGTTATTTTTGTAAATATGTACCAGGGTTTATTTATTATAAAAGGAGATGTAACCAAAACCTATGAGATATGAATAAAATTCTAGCCCCGCCTAGGGCACCGAGGACGTAAGCACATTGCTGAACCTCGTTAAAATTCTTGTTTTCTTTACCCGATTTTTTAATAATAATAAAAACGCCACTAAAGTACATCACAACTGCAGCATTTATTACCAAAAAACACCACTAAATTACATGATTATTGCGGCGTTTATTACAAAAACGCCACTAAAGTACATGACTATTGCGTCGTTTGAATAAAAAAACCACTAAATGACAAGTCTATAGTGGTGTTTGTTTACAAAGGCTACGAAAATCTAAGTCTTTCGCGGCATTTGTATACAAACGCCACTAAAGTAAAAGTATATTTTGGTGTTTGATAAAAAAATGCCGCTAAAAATGGCACTATACAACTCTATTAGGCGTTTGTTGAAAAAACGCCACTAAAGTACTACTATATTGCGGCGTTTGTATACAAACGCCGCTAAAGTACTTCTCTATTGTGGCATTTTTTATATAAAAAAAACACTAAAGTACTCTCTATTGCGGCATTTTTTGAAAATACGCCACTATATATGAACCCTATTACGACATTTATAGAAAAGCACCACTAAATTTATCATTTTGTGGCATTTTGAATTGAAACGTCGCTATATGTTTAAAGTTATAGCATTTACTCTCAAAATGCCGTTGTAGAACAGTTTTGTTGTAGTGAATATTATACCTTGAAGATGACTCAAAGCTCCACGCTCTTTAGCACATGACTTTGAGTCCATATGTCTACCATTTCACCACCAAGGCATCTTGAAAGTGAATTGTAGTTCATGAGTATGATATTTAGGGGCGTTCAAAAATAGCCGACTGGCCGACCCGATTAAAAAATATCGCGTATATATTTTGAAAATATTTGATTTTCTTGGTCGAGTACCTGACCCGTTATATTTTTCGGGTTTCCGAGAAAAGCCCAGGCCAAAAAATCTTGCTTAACCGGGTATCCGCCAACCCGATACCCATTATTATTATTATTATTATTATTATTATTATTATTATTATTATTATTATTATTATTATTATTATTATTATTATTATTATTATTATTATTATTATTATTATTATTATTATTATTATTATTGTTGTTGTTGTTGTTGTTGTTGTTGTTGTTGTTATTATTATTATTATTGTTGTTGTTGTTGTTGTTGTTATTATTATTATTATTATTATATTTTATATTAAATTTTTATTTATAATTCTCAAATTATTTCACTCTAATATTCAAAATTCTTAATTTTCTTAAATTTTACCACCATAACATTTTAAATTATTAATTTCTTAAATCATTTCACATTAACATTCTAAATTATTTTTTAAAATATTAATTTAACTTCAAAACATTTAAAATTTAACCATATTTTTTATTTTAATTTTAATAAATTTTCTTTTAATTATGTAGTTTAATTTTTTAAAACTTACGTGTGAATGATATATTATAGACCTTTAAATTTAAATTTTAGAATTTTTCTATATAATATTTTTAAAATAATATAATTAAAAAAATTATGAACTGGGTACCCGACTTACGGGTACTTGGATGTAATGTGCCAGGACATGAACCGACATTTTAGCTTCCAAAAATTTCGAGTATGTGATTATAAACACCTCTAATGATATCTATTTAGTGTGATATATGGAATATATGACAAAGACAAAATATTACAATATTTCTATTGATTGGTCATATCATATAGACCCGAGTCGGACAACCAATTGTTTCGATTTGGTATCCGAGGAAGTACATTATTGTTTTTTTTAATACAACTAAAAATACCTAGCAACTTCTTAATTTGATTCTGAAATTGAATTACAGCTTAGACAACTACAGGTTCGTAAGTAGGGATGGTAATTTCACACATCCTATGGGTTCCAACCTTATATAACTCGATCGCTTCGGACCTTTCTAAAAGAAGTTTGGGTTTAGGTCGTGTCTGATTTTTAAGGGGTGAAATTAGGTCAGACGGGTTCGGATGAAAATCTCTGATTCAAACTGAATCGAAAATAATACTGTAATTTACTTAAAATTTTTATTATTTTTTAAACTAAATCTTTAATTTATACCGAGTCGGGTCGAGTTATGTTCAGATGGATGATGTATTTTTCGGATCGGGTCAACCAAAAACCCAACCAGTTGCCATCCATAGTCATAAGCAGCTGTGATCTAGAGGAAACTTTTGCCATAATGGACGTAAAATGCTATGCCCAAGGTTTTTTTTTTTTTTTTTTTTTTTTTGGTTGGCTTGTAGGGTACCCATATCTTTACTTTCAAGATACAGCACTGTGCAAGACTATAAATTATCCATTTTGTTGCTTTGGGGTCGGTTCAACTCCTTTTCCTGCGAACAAATATGGCTTTATAAGATAACGCCACATACTAATCAAAACAGAGTGCCGGAGGTTACTCTAAAGCACCCACCTTTCATATCATCTTAATACACAAGGTTCACGGCATTACAAACATAATAAACCCTTACCACAATAACAACCCGTCTTTACACTTGAATACTAAAACTTACATTATTATGTAGGCAAAAGTGTTAAGGTTCATAAGCTACGAGAAAGGACAAAATATTGATACGGTCATCCGGTCATTCTAACCGCTTTAAAACTTATCTACACTTACTCCATCCCTGGAAACTTCGTACGCCTCTCTACTCCTGTTTTTCTTCATTCCGGCTGTAACATAGAGCTTCGATCCTTCACATGTGATGCTAGTTACTTTAGCCCATACAAACACTTTTGTCTTCATTCCCTCTATATCAGCCAGTTTTCCTTTCTCCAGATACCCCGTCACGGTGGTGAAGAAGCGCAGAACGGACGAGTCCTTATATCCCATTTCACATATTGCTGGAATAAAAACAGTGAGCTTCCCAGTCTCTTCATTGAATTCATAGTTTGTAGCATCACGAGGGAAGATTCCTATAGGCAGGTTATACTCTTTTAACAGCTCCGGTAACGGCTTTTGCATTTTTCCTGTAAAAAGGTAAATATCGGTGCCAACAACAAAATCTTGGGGAAAATCTCGAGGAAGTGCAGTATGGATCAAATAAAGTGTCAAGAAGTCCGTATACCCCAAGTTAATAACATTAATACCCCAACTCAAAGACAAAAGAAAGGCTTCATGGGAATGTTTAGTATTGTTAAAAAATAATTACAAGGATCAATATGTTCATTTTTGACAATTTACATATATTGAAATTAGAGTTGGCCATGGAAAACACTAGAAGCTTTCTATTGGCATTCTCTACATTATTGAGTATCATCACAATTTAGGTGGCCACTTGGTATTCCAAAACCGATTACTTTAGAGTAATAGTTGGCATATTTTTCTAACAGCATTGTGTCCGTTACCTTTGAATGGCATAAGAAATGAACTGCATACAAATTCTATCCTTCTGAATAGCATAGCATTAACTATGTATAAAGCGTAGAACATCGCACAGGGAAAATAGAAAAACGATTCAGCAAGAGAATGACAAACCTTTGATTTTATTAACCAACCATTTGGCTCCTCCTTCAATACTGGTGGATAATGACTGATCAAAAGAGAGGGAAGATGATGTTAGCCTGAAGAACGCTAATAAAAAGGATAGATATGCACAGCTCAAGGGTAATCAATATTCATCAGCATACGAGCTTTGAAGCATTTGGAGAAAACATGAAACGAGTTTATAACATACTTCTCCATAAGGACCCAGCAGTTTTTAGATGAACAATATTATTTTAAACAATACAAAAACAGCAGTTCTCCAAATTTTCTCAGAAATATCTTAAATTCTATATATATATTCGAAAATTAGCACACGATTGGTTGCAAAGCAGACAAGGAAAAAAATTTCCGATTATCCGTAGCTTGAAATTTCCAATAACAATGGGGGAGAAACAGTCTTTGCAAATTACCTTCAACAAATAGAGCAATACGAAGATTAATCTCAATTTCGAGATCAAACAACCAGTCACAGTTACATGAAATAACAAAAGAAACCCGCATAGATCAGAATTGAATCGATTCCTACAGAAACCCTCGGGGAACTAATGATTTCACAAAAATTCCAAAGCAGAAGAGGGTCAAAATCGAAAATTGAACTGAAAGAATTGAAGAGGAAGTGAAGAGAGAAAGGAAAAGCGTACGTTGAGGTCGTCGCCGACGGAATCGATCTCCTTGTTGGCCCTCTTGCCTAGCCAATAGGAGCCCACCTTGTTCAATATCTGATCCATTTCTGAAATTTTATGTTCTGATTCTCACTGTCTCTCTGCGTCGAAAGAGAGATTTGTATCTAAGGGATGCTATTTAGAGAGAGAAAGACTATCTTCCGTAATTCTCTCTAAAATCTTCTGGTTGTTAGATGGAAGATTCTTAATCTTAGCCGCTAAGTAAAAGTTTCCTCCATCTTACTTCAATTCTTCCGCTGCCTAAAGTCAAACCCACAACTCTATCTAAACCCTTATTTAATTCCTATTTTAGTCTACTCTTTCTTCTTTAATCTTAGTTGAAAATTCGGCAAGTTCTGCGGTATACTTTAAAATTATGAAGCTAGAACATGGTAATAATGACCGACCCCGAAAATATTATCAAAAAGATTTACATCTTAGGTTGAACTAACTTAAAATATTATTTTTATAATGTTTTAGGTTATAATTTAAAATATTATATTTTCATCATTGGTAACATAAATAAGATAAACTTTGTAACATTTTAGGTTATAATCGAAAATAATTTAAAAAAAAAAAAGATAAAATTTTAAGTTACATCCAACTTAAAATATTAAATTGTTTTTTGATAATATTTTCAATCGAATTTATTATTACCGTTTTTAGTCGACTCTTAACCTACCTATCCTATTTATAATTTTGGGGGGCTTAATTGAAAGGTTTTTTTAATTTGGTGTCTATGTGCAAAATTTTGAAAATATAAGAACTTATAGCTTGGTTAACCTATATTTTGGATAAACTATCCATTACCTTTTTTTTCCTTTTTTTCCATTCTCTACAAAACCCCAACCATTTTTTTCATTTTCTATTTAGTCCCTTTTGTCGTCATTCTTGTCGTCGTGGGTGTCACCATAGGCACCATTCAATTCGTCTCATCGTCTCCTTTCGTTCGGTGTCCTCGCCATCTCTATCGTCGTCGTTGTTTGTGATACGAGGAGGGGTTAACATTTTGGTTTCCCAAAATCATATCTCCGTCATTCTCCGCTATGAATCAACCTTGGTAAGAGACTCTCTAACCCTTAATATGCAAATATGAGATTTTTTGGTAAATTTCTGATCATCAAAGGGCACCACACGTGCCATATTTGCCACCGCTGCGCATGTGGGACTAATTTCTTTTAAATCGGTCAAACTGACTAAGTGGGTTGAATAGACTTGACTGAATCTAATCAAACTATTAAGGGAACCAAACCACTAATCGAATCCAACGTTTTTATTCAAATCGTTGATGATTGATCATTAATCATTGACAGATGTAGGCCTGTAAACGAACCGAACGCACACGAACAGAGGTATGTTCATGTTCGTTCATTTAATAAATAGACGAACATAAACGAACACGAACATAAACGAACAAATTTTTTTTTGTTCATGTTCGTTTATTAAGGAATATAATTTGTTCATGTTCGTTCATTTAATAAATAAACGAACATAAACGAACACGAACATAAACGAACACGAACATAAATGAACACGAACATAAACGAACATAAACGTTGGAGACCCTACCTTCCATTGTTCTTTCATGAAAAATAGTCGACAATGCAAATCAACCAAATCTACAGTGATAAATAGCGTAAGAGTTGATTAGCAGTGATGAAATGTTTGAAGATATCAAATATTTCGATCGATCTTTTAAAGATATTAAATGATTCACACAACTTTAATTTAACGCTATAACATTTATCTTAGTGGTCCATGATTACATATGAACAATCATTTTCTCCTATTACACTCTTTTTCAGAAATGTCATAGAAACCTTTGTTTTGTTTTCTGGTAAATTCTATATATTTTTCTCTTTACTGATGCTCGTATACTTCCGATTGTTACCTTTATATTCCCATCTATTTCTAGAAAGAAGTATGATGTTTTCTTGAGTTTTAGATGTGAAGATACCTGCAATAACTTTACATATTAACTATTAAGCCAAATAAAACAGAGAAAGAGATGAAAACAAACATGTAAAACTTCATATTGCACTATAATATAACTTGTTTTGAAGCTTTCAGCGATCGTCTCCACTCTCTAGTGAACACTAGGGTTTGAGAAAAAAAGGGGGAAATGAATATAGGTGCGAGGTGCCTCACAGGTTAACATATTGGATTTAATCTCCAAATAAAATTGGATTAATTATGGAGTTGGTCATCAGAATATCATATTAATTAATATTTTTAAGATACTTACAAATTGGTCACCAAAATTGATTTAAGAAGATTGGGTTAAACATAAATGAATGAACATAAACGAACATAATCGAACGAACATAAACGAACATAACCGAACGAACATAACCGAACGTTCACGAACGTAAATGAACGAACGAGACCTATGTTCATGTTCGTTCATTTAATTAAACGAACAAAAAATCTTGTTCATGTTCGTTCATTTAATAAATAAACGCACATAAACGAACTTCCCGCCGCACGGTTCATGAACGGTTCGCTGAACGTTCAGTTCATTTACAGGCCTAGACAGATGACTTATTTTGTCAAATTCGCCATATTCAAATATTCTGTTCAAACGTTCTGAATCAAACCACACGTGCCATATTCACCATATTCACATTTTGTTTTGTCAAATTCAACTCCCGAAAGCTATATTTTGCATTATTTATTACTTTATCTTGCATTAATTTTAAGTAAATTCTAATATTTATGGTCTTACTTTTGATATCATATTCCGAATGCGATCAAGTATCTCTATGCTATTCTCTACGTAGATCTAGGCTACCTTCATTCGGCTCAACTTGATTCTACATGTTCAACTCTAGATATATGTGAGTATTGTTTAGTGAATTACTTTCTGTTACGATATATTTTTCTGTTTGATATTGCAACGACTTGTATGATTCCTTATTAATGTTATATCATTTACAAACTGCATACTGATGAATATTGTTTTCTATTTTGGTTTCTCTTTGGAGGGTAACGTCTTCATCTTGTTTCTTGATTTCTGTTTGGTTCCTCTTCGGAGGGTAAGATCCTCATTGTCAATTTTATTTTCTATTTTAAGTTCTTCTTCGGAGGGTAATATGCCCATCCTGCTTATTCTAAACAAAAAGTAAGGTTTGAACTTATGTCATGATATTTTGATAGTAAAATATATGGTATTATTGTTTGCTTTATCATTATGTTATTTATTACATTTTGAACTACCCATCTTTAAACATTAATATATGTTGGACTTAGAGGACACACTGAGCCTTATAAGTCATTCTTTTAGTATATGTATTTTGAGATCCCTCTAGCCTTTAGGGTCTCCATTGGTACCTAGAGGATCAACTGAAAACATGCTTTTTAGATATCATAAAGACATTTTTAAACTTTATTTTCGTAATAAACTTTATATATATATAAATATATTGAGATTTCATGATGTTATGTTTTTACTGATTTTGGGATTTATTATTGGTTTGCTTTATTTTATGAACACTTAGTTTTAATAATGGTTTAATATCGATATTTTGTCACTACATGTAACAATCTAATTTTTTTTGGGATGGAATATTTATCAGTGAACTCATAAAAGCTTATGTTTTCTTTTAATGTATATTATTGTGATCTTCGAGATTCGGTCGTAATATCTAGGTTAGGTTTAAGGGTTATAATTATGGTATCATAGCACATAACTCTCAAACTGTTTTGCTATAAAACTTATATTGTTCTGTAAATAATTTTTGTATGCATCAAAATTTTTTTAGATATGGGATTTTTTTTAAATTGATATTGATTGTAAATTTCGATAAACAAATTAATTTTATCTGTTTTCAAATTTAAGTTATTTTTTTCGAGACTCTATTACCATATTTAGCTTTATTTTATATTTATGTTTGGTATAGCACTTAATAGATAGTATGCTTTCTCGTACAACCCGATGTTCTTTATTGTCATCTCGTAGAGGTGGTAGTGTTTGGGTTAGGGATGATAAACAGGTACAATTTTATGGAGTTCACATTGCACTCACTCCGATTAGAGTGGTGATGGGTATAAGTTTAGTTGCTAATGGGTGGGTGTGGATGTAAAAAGTCATAACCGTCGTGGGTAATGGGTGGGCTATGAGTTTGAGACATTACTTGCACTGCATCTGCCCGACTCACATCTGCTCGCCCACTAACTATTCATCATATACATTTTGGACCATTATGGATTTATGTATAATCTCAGAGATTATTGTATAAATATTAAGATTTTATAAGACATAACTTGTAATTTAACCTAATGGATGGTATAAAAAAATTTAAAATTAAAGATCGTCGCTTATGTAATCTGTGATGTTGTTGTTGGGCGGGTATAAGTGGGTACAAGCGGGTCCGAGATGAGTGGTGGGTATCTAGTTGGGTAGTAGGTGTGGGGATAGATTTAAGAATGTACCCGTGTGGGCGGGTATGGATTTTAAAAGTTTTACTCGTCGTGGGCGGTGGGTAGGGGATGCATATAAAAATATTATATGGGTATGGAGAAGGATGAAGGGGTATCTGCACCAGCCCACCCATTTTCCATCCCTACTTGGGGCTTGTAGAGTTCAAATGACTAATGTTGATAGGGATGTTCCAGCTCCAAAGATTAAGACATTTGCATCTGATGGTGACCAGTGTACTCGAGTGAGAAATTAATCTGTTCGGACTATCGATTGTCTATCATTGAGATTGGAGCCACAAGGGATTTATATGATGTTGTTATTGGCTGAGGAGTATTATGTTTACTTCAAATATTAGCTGCTATTTTTCCAGAGGATATTTTGTTACTATATAGTTAGTTCTGTTACGAAATAGAATGCAGTATTTCAGAGAGTTCATGAGCTTCCTCATCTGTTGAGGAGTGCTTAATTAAGGAGATCTAACATCTTCTCAACAAGATAAATTATCTTGAGGGGTAGAGACAAAACCTCAAACATATAGTGATGCTATACGATCCTCTGAGGGCACCTTATGAAATAAAACCATTAAAAGTGATAGATTTCATTATGTAGAACCACATACGTGGGAATTAGTGGATCTTTATTTGGGAATTAAATCAATAAATTCAAAATAAATTTTCAAACAGAAAATGAAAGTAAATGGAACAATTGATAAGTACAATGATAGATTGGTAATAAAAATATACTGATAAAAAGAAGGCATTAGCTACTTTGATACATACTCTCATGTATCAAGAATAGCATCCATAAGAATGATACTAACAATTGTCGCTTCGCGAAATTTAGAAGTAAATCA